GGACTGTAATACTGCGAACCATAAGGACGGTTTTTGCCACAAACACGTGCAATGACGTGTACAAAGGTCATTCTTCAGATACTACCGCAGATCTCATTCTCGATCGGTAGGTAAATCTCTTGGTTTGATAGCCGATTTTCATGTTCATCTAGCTGTCCGCTGAAAGAATATCGAGAAGATAATTGACCCCCCAGTACACAAGGAGAAGCTCCCTCTGTGTCGGTCAAATAGTTGTAAGAAAAAGACAATGGGGCCCAGTTTGACCCTGAATAATATTCGCTCGAAGAGGGAGATGATATGGGGATAGAGAGGACATACTAGTTCGGAGAGGAACTAATCAAAATGTGCTTTATGTTATTACGTCTACAGTCAGCCAGACCGGCAGATGATGGACCGGCCAATGAATAGTATTGTTTCAAACATGTTACATATATATATTTTCCTTTGTTTTTGGGTCTTCGGTCTTTCAACCTCAATGCAGATTTCTTCACATTCATCGTGTCTTCTCCATCAATTAGTCAGATCAAGAATCAACTAGAAATTTGTTGAATGTTGGTAGTTGATACTCGATATCCATGCGGTCATAGCACATAGCAGTTTCCAAACCATAAAGGAGATGAAAGCTAAACCAAAGATGTTTATAGTCCCTGAAAAAACTTGTTCTCATTAAACTTGAATTCGCAGATGATACCATTGGCTAGATTATAAGGCAACGCATGACAAAATCTCTTTAGGGAGCATTCAGTGTGTGTCTTGTCTTCTACAGTCAGCCATTTATAGGCGTAGGAAATTACTCATAGAGCTAAGATATAGGTTGATGAGATCATACTAGGCGTACAGTTGTACCTGACCTCCATAGTCTTCAAAATCCTGGACAAAATATATAGACAAAAAGAAGAGGCAGCAATGGGATCGTCAATATCCCCAATCGTAGAAGATATATTTATGGATAATTGGGAAGAAATGACTTTATGAACGTATTATCCTGTACCTAAAATATGGTGGTGAAATGTGAATGACACATTCATAGTGTTGAAATCGGAACATTTCACGCATACATAAACGCAATAGTAACCGCAATCCCAATTCATTTATACGGTTGAAAATGAACAAGTAGAATTATCTATGTTGGATAGCGAAGTAAAACGAAGGGCAGACGATGGTTTGGATACTGCCGTCTGCAGTAAACCGCTACGTTCTAACAGGTATCCTAGACTTCAGGTCATCTCAGCTGATGTCAGTTGAGGTGCGTTTAGTCAAACATTTAAGTGATACAGCTAGAAAACTCACCATTCAATCCATGGACTTAAACCAGGAATAGAAATACATGAAAGAAACGCTAGTAATTAATTATTATCCCCTACAGTTTATTAAGGAATATCGACAACATGAATGGAAAGTAGTTCACTGACTCCATTGTATTATCATATAAGCAAGGAACATCAGAAACTCCACGTAGGATTCTTAACAAAGCTGGAATTAGAGTCGGATTTAAACCTACAAACTAACTTACAGATAAGCTTTGTCAGCCGGCCTAAGGATTCGATAGAACCAATTAAGCAAAATAATCTAACCTGCCAAATTCCATGTAATGACCGAGTCAGGTCAAGTACATAGGTCGAACTATCCGGTTGGGGTCAATTCGATTAAAGGAACATGGGAATTCGTCTAAATATAGAATGAGAGACCAGAATAAAATGAAAACTCGCCATTGCAATGGATGCATTAACACACATACACATACACACACACACACAACCACACGATAGGATGGGCGGGGATAAAACCACTATACTTAATTCAGTTCATCATAATTAGGTGAAGAGAGGGAGGGATTCATTACTGAGTCTTTTTTCATCGAATCAATAACACCCAACACATGTAACAGAAATGATGCCTATGTGTTGAGTGGGTGTTGATTCAATGGACAAAAATCCAGTTACCAATCTCTCTCCACCCAATCATATTGTTAGACGTAAGCACACCGGTTTTATCCTACCCACCCTGTTGTGTAGTTGTGTGCTAATGCAAGCACTGCAGTAGTTGAGTAATTATCTAGATTATTGATCTTATTGAAGTCTATCATTCCTATGTTGCACTATTCTAATTGACCCCGACTAGCTAGTTTGACCTATGTAGTTGACCTGACTCACAGTGATTACATGCAGTTTGATAGATTAGATTATTTTGCTGAATTGGTTCTATCGGAGTCTTAAGCCAACCGACTAAGCCTATCTCTAGATGAGTTCGTAGGTTTAAATGCCACCCTAACTAATTCCAACTTTGTTGATGATCCCAAGTAAAGTTTCTGGTGAACCTTCCTTATAGAGTAATACAGTGCTGGCCATGAACTCCATTCTTCTCACACATATAGACTCAGTAGTAGTCGCAATCCAATTCACTTACGAGGAAGTAGAAAATGAACAAGGAGAGTTACCTACCTTTGATTTCAGGATAAAACAAAGAACAGACTGTGGTTCGGATACTACCTACCGTCTACAGAAAACCAACACATTCTAACAGGTATTCTACACTTCAAGTCATCTCATCCAATGTCCGTCAGTGAAGGCAGGTTCAGTCCAGTATCTAAATGATAGTGCTAGAAAACTCACTAATCAGTAGAAGGACTTCAACGAACAATTGAAACATATAAAAGAAGCCTTAATAATTATCCTCTACAGTTTACTAAGGGATTCGTACAAATACATAAGAAACGAAATAATAACGATGAGACAAGTAGAAAGGAGTTCACAGTCTCCATTGTCTTACCCTACCAAGAAGGAACATTGGAAACTTTGCTTAGGATTATCAACAAAGTTGGGATTCGTTAGGGTGGCATTTAAACCTACAAACTCACTTAAAGATAAGCTTTGTAGGCTTAAAAATCCAATAGATCCAATTAAGCAAAGAATATAATCTATCAATTCCATGCAGTGACTGTGAGGTCAAGTACATAGGTCAAACTAGCTGGTAGGAGTCATTTAGAGTAGGGGAACATATGAATTTATCTAAACATAGAATGACAGACCCCAACAAGATCAATAATCTAGAAAGTAATTCGGCTATTACACTGCATGAATTAGCACACAGCCACACAATAGGGTGGGTGGAGACAGAGATTGATTACTGAATGTTTGTTCATCGAATCAAAACCCACCCAACACATGTAATAGAAATGATGTAACACCCAATGTACACCAAGGATATGGAAAACTTTACTACCAATAGAAGCAAAGAATAAGAGGTGGTTGATAGGACTATAAAAATTGATTGTTGAAAGTGTTGTGATTACACATTGATATGTTTATAAGTGATAATAATTTATGCTCAAAACATCATCAGGTCAATAATAATAGTAGCGTATCGTTATATGTGTTATAAATCAAATAAATAAATCTAGTATGGAATTTCATTCTACTATAATGCCTAAGTTTTACAACTTTATTGATTAAAGAATTTTCTTTGGAATATACAAAAATAAGTTTGTTAGGGTAGATTACAATTGCCTCTGTTGTATGAAGCAAACGGATGCTTAGTCCATATAGTAAATTAATTGGTATATAATGAAAATGATTTTCATAGTTATCCACTTGAAGTTCAAAGTTTGCTAAGTTATACAGTTATGGAGCTTTTTACTGTTGTAATCTGCTTCTTATTCCGCCATGATTCGTGATGCTGAGAAATTTGACGATGGATGTGACATATTGTACACTCAATGTAACTAGTTCCACAGAATCAGTTGAAGTGATAAATGTATATACACAAGTAGAAGAATCAGTCAATCTGTCTTAGTTTCTTGCATTTAGAAACGCTCACTTATATAGAAGATACAGGTTATATCAAGTGAGGACAAGGATATACTTGTAGTGGGCATCGCTGATAAGAATCTGTTCACAACTGGATTGCAGACATCTGTGAATAACCTGCTGTAACATACACACACACACATAAAACTCAAACAGAACAGCCTATTGACCAGAATACAACTATTGCTCAAGTGTGTCTTAAGACAATATGTATTCAACAATTGGTGAACCATTCAATCGGATAAGCGGTTAATCCTTGTGGTCCACTTTGATCGACGTTAATCACTAAGTAAAACGCTTGTTGGCACTCGTCATAGCAAGGTGGATTCTGATATGGGGATAAAGAGGACAGACTAGTCTAGAGAGAAACTAATCGAAATATACTTTATGTTATTACATCTACAGTCAACCAGACAGACAGACAGATAATGAAGTAACCAATCAATAGTATTATTTCAAACGGTGAACTATCTTCATATTAGATATATTTTCCTCTGTTTTTGGGTCTTCAGTCTTTCATCAACCCCAATACAGATTTCTACACATCCATCGTGTCTTCTCCATTAATTAGTCAGGTTGGAAATCAACTAGGAATTTGTTGAACGTTGGTGGCTGATATTCGATATCCGTACATCGTTAGGGGCCATAACACATAGTAGTTGCCAAATCACAAGAGAACTGTTGTCTTCACCCCCCTGCTCCCTATCACCTCCCCCCCCACCACCACCACCATGAGATTTTGAGCTTGCCTCACCCATTGGTATTTACGCCATAATTGACCTCCACTAGAAGACTGTAGAGAACCCATTATCCATTTGATTCTGACTTGTATCATAGAAAGATGACTTCACAAATCAACTATTTTACAATACATATGTATATATACAGAGAAGTTTCATTTATGACATTACTCACCTTTCATTGGGATTTTGTCCTCAGGGTGAAATCATCGCTAAGGAATTGTGTGTATGTGTGTGTGTGGCAGATACACATGCAAGTAAACAAGCCAATACCGTTGAAGAAGAATGTAGGTATGCAGAAACTGAAGAAAATACTGGTTGTTTTAGAAATGAAATCTACCTAAATATGACATATAAGGTAGGTGTATTGGTGGTATGTATAATATATAATAAATAAAGTCACCGGAATGGAAGGGAACAAGAACAATGTGCATGTGTGTATACTATATATGTATATATATATATAGATAAATATGTATTAGAAAGCAGTGACACGAGTAAAGCAGAATATGAGTAGAATTTCGTTGAATACCTTTTCGCCTTCTAAACATCAACCATAATTACACTTCTCTGTTACTCACCTTCTCTCAATCGTTGTCTACAAGCGTTTACTCAGGAAGTGATATGCAGCGACTAAGCCGACAGCACCTACAGCTATGGTTGCTACACCAGTCAAAGCACTACGAAGTGAGCGTAATGTCTCATCATCTGTGAATCCAGTCACAAGACCAATTAGACTGCCACCGCTATCATCATCATCATTATTCGACAACTGACTACATTCATTACGTTGTGATTCAAAGTCGATAAGACCTTCCTATATGAGAGAGAAAAAGATAAACAAGATATAAAATACTTTGTTAATTAAAGAAGTAATCATATGAATAAGTAATATTGCGAAATTAATTCCTTAAACTGTGATTATTATGAAATATACCCATGCAGATATGAAAGTGTAGTGGGCGTTGCTGATAACAATGGATATAAGTAGTATATGTTGAGAGGGTGGCAGAAATCATAAGGAATTACCAGAAATGAGTAAGGATTCTGCCAAGAGAAATGCAAGGGATAACGCAAGCGTATTACAGTGTATGCTGGTGATAAGAATGTATGAAGAGTAAATCAAGAGAGAAACAGAAGAGGAAACGAAGCACATTTTGTAAATGAAGCGTTTAGTGCAAGGTGTACCATATCTAACGACTACCGTCCCATTTCTTGCTATCCAGGCTGTCCTTTTACTTCCTCTTGCGCGCTCATATATTGAAAGTGATGCTGGTCTCACCAGCTAATGCAAATTTTGGATTTGATAATTCCTACAAGACAAGTGAACCAGAAAATAGATTAAAGTAATGAAATCAAGTTTTATTGGTCATCTAAGAACAGCAACACGATAGTTCCAAGGAATTTTCTAAAGTGTAAATAATGTCATTGATGTGTTCAAGATGTTAGGAACCAATGAGTGAAGAGTAAATGTGATATCGTTGAAAGATAACTTGTGTTATCAGCAAAACACACTTTCCTACCTTGAATTAGTCTGTATAAGAATTTTACAACTCATAGGCACATTATGTTAGTGATGGACAGTGGCTAGCGGTGGAATCCAGGATGCGCATTTCATCCCATTTGGACTCGTCAGCTGGATGTACCTGCTCCCCAGTAAGTGATATTGTTCCCACCGGGATTTGGACTCGGCAGCTATCGCTTCAAACGCGTAGAACGCTGGCAATATCGGAGCATCCACAAAGTATCCCATATGCAAATAGAGGCTGATCAGTTCGGTCCAATCAATGACGGTATAATACAAGCAACAGTAATAAAACTATACCCGTCACACCAGAAATGGCTATAGTGGCTCGGTGGTGTAGTGGATAACGGTCTGGCGTTTGAAGCGATCGCTCCCGAGTGCATATCCCGGTGGGAAAAACATCACTGCTCACTGGGAAGCAGGTACATCCAGGTGACCAATGAGTCCCAAATAGGACGAACTGCGCATCCTGGATTCCACTGCTATCCACGATCCATCAATAACATAATTAGAACGCTGGCAATATCGAGACGTCCACACAGGAGTCCATATGCCAACAGAGATCGATCAATTCGGTCCACGCAACGATGGTATCATATAAAAACAATTATACCAATAGGCACATTTCACTTCAGAATTCAAAAGTAGCGGGGAATCTGAAGGCGCTGGGTCCGATCTCTGGTGAGGAGGAGTCCTTTACTAGAACAAAACAGCCGGCTATTCAGCACTTCCAGTTTTTTAATTTTTCTCCAACTGATGTCAGTCAGTTCATGATGAATAACAACTTGAAATCAATCAATAAATCGTCAGAAACCCGAAAATATTCACATGTATGATAAAGTCACCTTTACTTGAATATTCATTTGTGATGATTAGTTGTGAATATTCTCAGGGACTTTGGTCTTCTTCGAATGATGTGAACAGTATCATGCACAGAAACTTATCACTCCAAGGAGGAATGACATTGAAAGAGTAGGGAGAAGAAGATGAAGTTTAGTTGCTTAACGGAAATGCGCTCCCTGAGGAACGTGAAGGTTTTGGGTTCGATCTCTGACGTGGCTGTTTACATATCTCCTGTATATGAGCATATCATGACTGAATTGTTGGTAATTTGGAGTTATTCACGTGGTTATTCCATGAGCAGAGAGAAAGAGGCCAGTAAACTTACTTCGTATCAAAAGAGAATAACTTAATCATATTGATATATTCTTCAGCTAAGAATGATTTATACAATGTCACTACCTAAAATAACAAGTTTAGATTTTTATTTGACTATCTGAGATAGCAGCCGTAGTTTGGCGGACTAGTATTTATGCTGGGTGATGATTGAAGGTGAAATGTAAATTTGGACCACGGCCGGATTCGAACCAGCGACCAAACTACGGCTATCTCAGACGGTCAAGTGATAATCAATATGATGCGCCTCTTGTCTTTAATTCAGCTAGATTAGGAATGGAATGAGAAGTTCTTACTGCAGGCGGCCAGTGTGAGCACATACGAACAAACGATAGTGACTCGTTATCTATCAAATCCCTTGTTGATTGAAATAAAATAAAAAGGTGGTCAGCAGTTGGAGCTCATTTAAGCAGGAAACCCATTGGTCACTGGTTCAAATCCGGCCACAGTTCAAATTTTCATTTCACCTTCAATAAACACCCAGTATAGAGTTTAGATTTCACAGCTGATTAATTCAATCCAAAGGAGCTGTAGAATATCATCATCTCATATTTTGTTTGTTTACCACCTTGTTCTCTTTACAATTGCCTTTGGTCATTATGAATGGTCTTAGATTTTGTTCCAGTTATCTTGGTTGTGTTCTGTTCTGTTTAGTACATAAAACCACTGAACTATTGAAAGAAGGTATTATAGTCGAGATTTTCTACCTTTTTGTACAGAGAGGTGTTATGACTGACATAACAAGTGATTGGATAACGGCTGTTCTTAACAACGCAGCCGATAACCTACAGACTATTTGTTCGAACTTTTCTGATACCTAAATTTTCGTTTTACTTTTAATTATCACCCAGTATCAATAATGCAAGTGAGTAAAGTCATGTGATAGTTAAATGAAAGGCTGATACAACGTATAGGATGAAAATATTTGATGGCCAAGTGGTTTAAGCAGGCCACCTTAATGGGCATATTATAATGTTTTTGCCAACCTCGACAAAGGTGTTAAGTAGGTTAGAACTGCCTTCCTATATTATACTTCTTCCTGTGGTTATTTCCTAAGATCCCTTTTAACAGACAAGGTTGACAGTACTCATATTGAGTACTGGATTGCTTCAAAATGGTGGAGAATATTTGTAGCTCAGGTGGATGGTCTTGGTTGCGTTGTTTTTTCTGCTATGAGTTGCTGAATCGTGGAGCTTTCATCGTCTTGGCAGACGATATCAGTCGAACAACCAACTACCATTCCTGGATGTTTTAGTCAGTAGGACAAATACTAGAAAGCTGGAAACCCAAGTGTAAAGGAAGCTAACATACACTGACTGACTGATCAAATCCTCAACTACAGTAACAACAACGCAACAACACACAAAATTAATTGCCTGCAGACTCTATTCAGAAGAGTGAGAACACACTGCACCACAGTACAACAACTTCATGGAAAAACAAAAAAGTACTTGATGTCCATCATCCATTCATCATCCTTATCAGAAGATGCCTATCCCATACATCGTCAACTACAAAGTCATCGACAGAAATCAACAAACACATCATCCTATCCTACATAAAGCCCCTATCAGATATCATGATGAGATTACTGAGACCACTTGGAATTCGTGTAGCTCATAAATCAAGAAATCCTCTCCAAGCTAAATAAGACAAAGCGAATATCATTTACAAAATCAACTAGAAAAACTGTAGTCAAGGCTACATTGGACAAAGTGGTCGCCCACCTTCACCTTCGTCTACATCACACACGACATTTCATCTCTCATCACTCAATCCACTTGGATAATGACTATGGAAAAATGGATTGAATTCTGACAATGTAGAAATGTTGAATGTTGAGTGGAGAGAGGAAAGACAAAGAATATCATCAGAGAATTGCTAGAAGCTTGGGATTCAGGTCAGGTCAGGTCAGCTGAGCTCAGCTGAGTCAGTCAGTCAGTCAGTAGCAGTCAGTCAATCAGCAGATGTATAGATAGACACAGACCCAATCTATCAAGCAATGAGAAAGATGATAGAAGACAGAAAGTTCATAGGTGAAGCAGAAGAACAGTGAACAGGAGAATCTATGCAGTCAGTCAATGACGTGACAATTAAAGAAAACAACGAATCACGGACCACTTCGTCAGAGCAGGTAACTAATTCTTTCACGGAGAGATATTTGCAGATCACTTCATACTGAGGCGAGTCCTGATGGTATCACTGTCTAGCAAGGCAATGGAAAGTCTATATGCGCATAACTATGTACAGAAATTCAACTATACTACCTTATTTACCTTGTTTGTGACAAAAAGGTTACACTACAGTCTTCTCAATAAGCTTTGAATGGCGAAAAGTTACCATGACCCTGGAGTCACTAGGCAGTTCAATAATCCTGTTATCCTTTGTCCGTGTTGTTCAACAATACCACAGTTAATGTGCATTTAAAAAATGTTTAACGACGGGTAAACTGATGCTGTACTGTAAACAAAATTATTTTCTGGACTCAAGCACCTAATGTTTACACTACAATTTCATACTACTAATGAGTAGTTCATATTTAACTCGTAATTTTTCTTTGTTGACTTTCAAGTTCACTTTCACACAAGTATTCCAGAGAGAAGAATGGAAGGATATTCGAATCTTGAGATTAAGTAGCTAGTGACGTTAATTTTTGATATAAGGATGCCAAACATTGAATTTATTGTCTACTGAGGATGAATGAATAGGGAATCGTCGGTCAAGGTTTGAATAAGATTGGCAGAAAACACTGCGTAACTGTGTTGTGTACTGCGTAACTGTGTGTGCACTTTGAAGGCATATTTTCAAACTAGGGAGGATTTTCCTTTCTGATATTCTTTTACTTTCAGAATTTCGTTGTAGACCTTTCGTTGCCAGTATGCTTTTTGATTGTGTCAAGTATTATTCCGGAAATTGTTGGTCGTTTATATATTTTATAATGATGATTAATTTGACCGATTCCAGTTACTTTTGGGATATTGAAAATAATCAAGAAACTAATACTACCTGCGCCTACTTGGACCCTCATCCAAGGCTTTTGGAGACCCTAATCAGTTTGCATATAAAAGCAGAAGTAGCATTCTAGATGCCACCACTGTCTTGTATCATAATATTGCTCATAGTCTCGATCGAAATGCTAAGTATATCACATCTACCTTCTCAGGTTGTACTTCAGCATT